GGACCTTTTCTCGTACAAGGTGGCCCTCCACACTGAAGAGGTGACATTTGAACTGAGATAGGAAGAAAGACCCTGAGATAGGCAGAAGGAACAGCAAGTGCAAAGGTTCTGGGGTCAGAACGAGTTTGATGTGTTAAAAGGAAAGAAAGAAGGCTTTGGCGGCTGGGAGCTACTGAGTGACGGGGTTTGGTCATCAGATTAGTGGGATAGCCAAGGGCCAGAAGGTGCAGGCTTGCAGGCCAGGAAAAGTTGTTTGGATTTTATTCTGCTTGTACTGGGAACCTATCGGAGGGATTAAAGCAAAGAAAGTGCTGGAATGAGACTTGTACTTTCGAAGAATGACTCTCTCCTAAAGGTGTAGATTTAAGATTTGGGCACTTGATGTGTGTATTTGTTACAGAGAGAAAACTCTGATAATGTGTGGGGGTAGATGTTGAATAGCTGGAATAAGCTGGAAGGCCTGATAAGAGATTTTATCTCAGCATTTTGGGAGTTTATAGTACAGTGTCTTTTTTTTTTTTTTTTTTGAGACAGAGCCTCAAGCTGTCTATGCCCCTGGGTAGAGTACTGTGACATCACAGCTCACAGCAACCTCCAACTCCTGGGCTCAAGCGAATCTCCTGCCTCTGCCTCCTAAGTAGCTGGGACCACAGGCGCCTGCCACAATGCCTAGCTATTTTTTGGTTGCAGCCGTCATTGTTGTTTGGCAGGCCAGGCTAGATTCGAACCTGCCACCTTGGGTGTATGTGGCTGGCACCTTGGCCACTTGAGCCATAGGCAGCCGGGTCTTTAATACAGTGTCTTTACATTCAGATAGTCTTTACAAATATTCTTGGAGAATGAGCAGTATCCAAAAGGCAGTTGTCACTAAAAACCTGGCAAGTACACTTGGTGTTAATGTCTCTGTAGCTCGTTCACTGTGGGCTGCAGCTTTTTCAGCCGCCCTCTTGCTGGTGGGTTTTTGTTTCTGTGAATAGTGCTGCCATAAGAATTCTTATATCCATCTCTTTTTCCCCCTCCCTGTTTGGTACCGAAAGTCACCCAAACTGGAGCCTGTCAGAATTACATGCTAAAATCAGGAACCCTTTCTCTGTGGCAGTCTGATTGCCCCTTGGCGTTAGAGTTGGCTGGAGAAGGGTAAGCCTTTAAGTCTGGTTAGAATGTTGATCCTTTTTAAATAGGCAAGCAGTTTCTAGGAGGTGGGGGAATGGAAGGGCAAGTGGAAATACACACATAAGTGGTTGTGTTGTTAGGGAAAGTAGCTTCTTTTGTGCCATATTGCCTGGAAACGGACACAGTACCCACAGCCCTTGAGGGTTTTTTAACCTGAGGATAAGGGATCCTTGCCCTTGTGGGTCTTTACTGGCCCTGGGCTATAGCATGTGATAATGAAGCGAGAAACCAGTTGCCCTTATTCTGGACTCCTCTGTGTGTGTGCTCTTGACCTCTGCAGAGCTGGGGGAATCAGGAGGATAGAGAACCAGGGTACTTCTGCTTCCCTTTGCACCACTGACAGCTTCAAGAAGCCACTGGTAAACTGCCCTTGGCCCCAGGACCCTAAATAATAACATCTGAAGTGAAATCTGTCTCTGGCGTTTTTTGATCTCTATGGAGGGCAACGTTGTGTCTGCTTACATGGTCATTTTTATTTGCAGGCTCAAGCAGTAGGTACTTATTAAGGTGCTATCAACCCCACAGGACTATTATGAAGCAACCAAAAAAATTAACTTAAAATGTAAGACCTGTCATTCTAAAAATGACATTGAAACAAAGCAGAAGGTGAGAAGGCTTCCCAGATGGTGGTGGGACAGAGAGGGTTGTGCTTTTTCCTGCCGTGGACCGTTTTCTGCAGTCCAGGCCCTTGCCATCTTGTGGACAGGGTGCACGGAGCACGTGCAGACCATGTTCAGCTCTCTGGACTTCCTAATCCGCCTCCCCTGTAGGGGGATATGGAGACAGGAAGACAAGGGATAGAACATTCCACATGGAGCCCAGGAGCCTACTTGGAGAGACCTCTGACCACCAGGCAGAGGAACTCTAGCGTGTTGCTGGGGAGTGGTGAGAGGTGTCATTTGGGGTGTGCGGGATGATGTGATGAATGTAGGGCAGGATGTTCTGGAGGGGAGAGAACAGGATGGGGTGCATGCACTGCAGTGGTTTCTGCTCAGGAGCCTGGAATCTTAGGGAGCAAGCTGCTCTGGTTCATGGCAAACCCTGCAGCGAGGAAACAGAGGATGTGGGAAGGCTTTTCACCTCTGTAATGGGATGCTAGCTGCCACTGACCTTGGGCCAGAAGAATGTGCTGTGTGGCTGCGTGGGAGGTTTGGACAGCGGGTGGGAAAGTTATGATTCATTCATCTACCTTGCTCATCCAATGTGGAAATATGGGATTTTCCTTTTTTCCCCCCTCAATAACCTGCTTTCTTTTGAGAATGGAGCTCATTTATTAATCTGTTGATAAATATAGTTACCAAAAAATTGAAAGTCCAGAGTGCAGCCCTTGGCTTCTGCTGAGCCCTGGTCACATATGTAGTAATGGTGCAGGACAAGTTGTACCCTGAGTTGTAGGGGAAGGTATTGGCACTGGGCTGATTTGGTTAGGAAATCTGGAAAATTTTTTTTTTTTTTTTTTTTT